CGGTCCTGATCGCTGACGAGTTTAACAAAATTGTCTCACTTGTCTCTTAAGGACAATATGAAATTCCAGTCACCTGTTCAGAAAACGGGTTTCACAGGATTGTGCTTTCAGATATTGCTCCTTCTGGATATGGTAGCCAGTTGCCTCATCATTGTTTGTTTCTGTTCTCCCTTTCGTTTCCCTCAGGGTTATGCACAGTTTGCCTGCCTTGCTGTTTAGTCAGAAATCTCTTGCTATTTCTGAGCATTTGAGGAAGTATCTGCCTTAGACATTAATTTTGAGAAGGGGCATGAACAAACTATCACTGCCTCGTCCCTAGTATTTGCCATGTGTTACTTATGCTACATAGAACGTGGTAAACACTAATTTTCCCTAATGAAGTTAAGGCTACAAGTCAAGGTTCAACAAGGGCCATTTGAAAAGCATTTGAGAGAAATCCCAGTTGCTTCAGTCTGTTTCATGTGAGGAAAAACTCACAATTAGCAGATTCTTTCCTTAAAGTATGCTTTGTGCTTTTGTGGTTCAGAGGTGCAGCAAAGACGCTCAAAGCAACAAGGTTTCCTTGCAACAGTAGATTGTAAGGATAGTGAACTGAAGAAACACCTTCATGAAAAAGGGGCCATTAAAAAGTACTTTTTACTGAAATGAACTTTTATACCGCAATTGCATTCTAGACGTGTAATGTGTTCGTCTTAGTATTTATTGGAAGGAACTTACCCAACGTGACATGGTGCAGAAAGGAAGCATTTCACTCTGCTCATTCTAATTTGTCATAGATTTTCTTGAATCCTGCAAGGCATTTGTACTGTAAGACAAACTATAAACCATGTTTATGCATGACAGGAGGAGCATCAGACATGGCCTGCTGAGTTTGGAAGAGGCAGACCTCTAGGGCAACAAGTCACAGTGCACAAATAAATGTTATGTTGATGCAGCAGCAGAATTTTAAACAAAAACAAATCCTCTGTGGGCTGTTTTCCTAATGATTAGCGCACACGCATGGAAGATGAGACCTTCACAGACCTTTATCAGGAGAATGAAAATTTATCAGTCCATTTTCACATTTTTTCCCTACGTTGTGCCATGACCTGTTTTTGTTCTGGACCCATGGGCTCTACCAGTCCTTCTCCCCTCTTCTGTTGTGCAAGCAGTAGTCCACCATGCAGCTTGAGTTGCTCAGAGACCTGGCCCGGTGTCAGCACAGCAGAACACTACAAACAGCAAGAAAGCAAATGCAGCATCTGTGGGGATAAAAAGGAAAGATGTCATGTTATCTGTCATCTTTTTATCTCTTTTTGTGAAATTTTTAACCTTACATCAGTCCTGACCAGTGTACAACAAGCAGATAGAAGGAAACAGAGTTTACTTTTGTTGTCTCGTCATCTTCTCTAGCTCTTCAACAATGTCTTACTGATCTGATGTGTGATTGCTGTTTCAGTATAGTCTATCGTAAGCTGCTGTCCTTCCCCGAATCCCTGATAGTTTGTAAGTGTAGGAAACCAACAGCACGCCACAGTAGAGAGTTCTGCTTTTGATTGCAGCGAGAGGTGATCGTGATCATCCTGCTGTGTCCTAGGAATGATTTTCAGAGTCCCCAAGTCCTAGGAATGTTTTTCAAGAGCTCTCAAGAAAGCTGACCCCTATGCTTCCGCATATCCCTGGAGGATAGTGAGTTCATTTTTGCAGAGATCGAAAGTGTTCCAGATGAAGAGGGTATACCGAGGGGTCCCTGGAAGTTCGTCATGGAAAATATCAAGGACTAGACCCCTTGAATTCATATGAGTTGTGTAGAGTGTGAAGAGGTTGGAGCAGCCAGACAGCGCGTTTGCCTCAGTAATTTTTTAGGTGGCCAGAAAACCCTTTACCTCTTCAACTACTTCCTCTTTAATAACAATTTGTTTTGGAATATAAATAAGATGTGGGCATGGCAAGTTTCCTAATATTCACCACCACCACCCTCTCTCTTTTTTCATCACATTTGTCATGTCCTGGCCCAAATACCTGTCTGATTTTCCAGATATATCAATTGGTCTAATAGAAGATCGTACCACTCCCTCTAGCTATGTTTCCCAAAGAGAGTTGCATACTACTTGTGTAATGGGTGTTAGAGTCTGTGTCACAAGGTGAATAGAGGGATGGTGTTGGTACAGATGAGCTTAGAGCCTAGTAAAACTGGTAGCACAAAAAAATCACTTGAGAAGTTTGGAAAACACCGGCCTAAATGTCTGAACAACATCTGTGGGAAAAGGGCTGCTTTTTCCAAGCTAGAAGCGGTTTGGAAGGAAAGCTGTGTTGTCATGTGAACAGGGCATGCAACATTAGCTCTATGAGCTGCTGTTTAATAGCTTGTGTTTATCATGCTTTTTAATTTGAATGACTGTGTTGCAAAAGATTCTGTTTGCACATGAGAAGTTATTGAAAACTGGGGAACAAATAATTCTGCATCCACTAAGTTTTTATTTTTGGGGGGATTGCATTTTGGAAAGTAGACTAAATTTCTAAGACCAAAATCTCTTGTTACTGTCTTGTTTTATTATTACTGGAGAGACTGCTGTTCATGCACATCAAGGCAAATCAGAAGCTGTAGGAGATTTGACAAACTATTGATAAAGTTGACTGCCTCTTTCCCTCTTACATCTTTCTTCCTTTCTACTCTCTCCCTGCTTCTATGCCTTTCTCATTTTTTTTAGTTTGATTTTTCTCTCTCCTTTCTCCCTTTTTCATGCTCACATTAAATGATCTTTTCAGACAAGCATCACAGAAAAGCTGTTTTTTAGATTAACACAGACTCTGCTTTTTTATTGACTAGTCTGTAACAGCTAATGTGATTTGCACTTCTGTTTACCAACTTTCTATTATTAGACCCACCATATGACTAATATGCAGGTAACTATTAGTCACCAGTGGAGCTGCTAATTGTGTAGATTAATTAATCATTCCAATTGGATTTGTTGTCTCCAAACAGAGATGTGATTAAAGTAAGGAAAAGTCTCTGCCCGGCTTATCTTTTGAGAATGAGTGAGTTTAATATGATGTGCTACCTCATATAAATCAGATGCCTGATTATTAATGCTCAGATATCGCTCACAACATTGAAGTAGGAGGGCAACAGCTATTCCTGTCAATCCTCCTGCCATTAGTCATCATGCTGAACACTTCATCTCAGACAGTTCCCTGACTGTTGCCAAGGTGCTGGGCAGTACATTAACATTGCAGCAGTTCCTGGCCAGATTATTGGCAAGGTGGAGTGGCTGGTTTTTATAAAATGCCTCTTCTGCTGCTGGCACACATATCCTGTTCCTTTAACGCAGGAATCTGTTCTTCAGGCTTCTTAGCCCACACAACCTGCTCCAAGCTCTCCATGTCTAGCTGGAATCTAGCCAGGATCTCCTTCCTGTTTAGCAATACAAGAGGAGCAACGTGGTTATAGTCCTTGAAATTTGTTCAAAAGCAGGTTGAGAATCCAGGGCCAAAAACAAATGAAGGGTCTGTATGCCTCATTAATTAATCTCTTTTGTTATTGGTGCCTGTCCTGTAAAGTGTGAATGGCTGACAAGTGACAGAGAGCCATGGCTAAGCAGAAACAGAGATGTGCTCGTTTTAGTGCTGGAGTCAGACAGAGCGACATGTTCACTGTCTTCCAACCAAAATACCAGAGGCAAAGGCATTCTATAAGCTTTAAGTTTGGTTCAGTGACATTGCTTCTTATCAGGTTGTAAGCTGCTGCCAATCCCAACAGGCAAAAGGCAAAAAGAAAAAGCTGAGTGTGCATCAGCTGACATGGGCATTGCTCGGGAATAGTTCAACTTTTAAAAGCCTTTTATTATCAAGCTGTAACAAAGCTGCTTTGTACCATAAATACAAAGAAATGACCCACTTCCCCTCTCTGTCTCAGGTGGGTAAAAAAGTTCCTTTCTTCCTTGTTCACAGCACTCCCCAGGGCTCACTCTTTTGTGTGGGAGGCAAGTTAGAAACCACTAACAAGGACAGAGAGGAAAGCCCTCTACCGTTCCGTGCATGGGTCATGTAGTTTATCACAGCAGATTCTGTCCTCACTGGCTTCCCTTCAGTCTCACTTGCGGGTATTTGCATCTCTCTTTGCTGATGCCTGTGGAAAGTAAAAGTCCCTACTCTCAGTTCAGAATTGCCCTTTAGCCGATAGTTGCTACAACAGTGGAGACTTGAGGTAGAAATCCCATGCAGTGTGCTTTGATAAACCCTTCCCACTGGATCAAGTATGTTGCGGATATGCTCAGTGCAAATGCAAGTAGGTCCTGACTTCCAGTAGCCAGAATTATGCTTTGAAGGCTGATACTCGGATCCCTGTCCATTTGTATCTGGCCTGGAGCTTTTTATTGATTTGCCTGTTAAAGCCAAAGTTGTGCAGAGCTGAGGGAAGGGGAAACCTGGCCTAAGTGTCAAGTTCCAACATTGTTCTGTCTGTTTTTAACCAAATGAAATACAGCGAACAGGATAATGTGTCCCAGGCACTGTCTAGCGATTTCCATTTCTCTTCCCCCAGTATTGAGTCTGTTGAACCTGTCCATAACTCTAGCTCATAGCTCTGACATGCCTTAGCTCCAGCAGCATGAGTGTCCTTTTGTCGTTCTTTGCAGTCCTTTTTGCTGACATACATCTTGATGTGCATCAGGCATGCTCCCTCCCAAAGTCAAAACAGCTGCATCTTAGAGAGAGGGAAAACCTTCAAAGAAAAAACAGTCAGACCCTCACTGTGGTCTATTGGTAGTAACAGATAATTAAGTCTAAAAGTTTCAACAGAGGGAAGACATTTATGGCCAGGCAAAACCCAACAGCGTTGTAGGATATGTCTTTTGTGTTACCCTGAATGCAACCCTGAGTCTAAGAACTGTGGTGGTGATTTGGTAAATGTTTACATTCTTTCAGTCTTAAAGGTAATCAGCCACACTGTGTTGATGGGAACCTAGAGGATATAAAAGAGTGAAATCAAACTGTATCAAGCCATTTGAACATAATCTTTCTTATCTCTGCAGGCATTTCTTCACCGGATCCGCCAGAATGCTGTGGACAAAGCTGAGAAGTACATAACAGAGGAGAATGTTAAGGTATTTCTTCTATCTGCCTCATTTTCTTGGTAGGGAAAATGATGTGTAATGAAAGGCTAGATTCAGGGATATGAATATCAAATATCCTCATGTCATATTGATGCTTATTATTAAACTGGTTCCCTAAGGAAAAGAGGCTCATGTTGACAATTTATCTGTGAGTCTGTTTGCTCATTCGTATAGCTGTCATATTCCAGCAATTTTTCATCCCACCAGCTAATTTCAGTAAAATTTTACAACAGTGTAGTGTTGTCAGAGATACTAACTTTTGGCAAGGTTTGTGAAATGGTGGGTAGAGGACAGAGAGGCCCTCTCAGTGTCTTTGAGAGGAAAGGCAGGGAATGCACAGCCCTTATCTATTTTGCTTGACAGTATTCAGTTAGCCAATTTGCATCTGCTGTCTTTTACAAATCTGAAATTGATAGAGCTTATGAGAAGGAAGCAGGAATATTCCTTTGTGTTCTACTGGGAAGGAATTTGGGTTCTTGTGGGAGGACTAAGTAACGGGAGACCCTTGCATAAGGAGGTTCCTGAATGAGTTTTGCACTGGAAAGAGACGTGGGACATAGAACACAGCTGTGAGGCACTAGCTTCTCTAGTGCCTATGGTCACAGGAGGCCTTGTTGGTTATTTTCATAAATACAAGCAACACTTTCTTGTAGTAATTTGGCTTAAACCCTCCTTGTACGCATATGCATGTGAAACCTCTGTACACATATGCAAATAAACCCGGATGATCAGTGGGACAGGGAGCAGTTTGTTTGCCATTAGAGGCTTACTTATTGGGCTTGCTTTTGATCCTGTAGCTCCTAAATCAGCAGAAACTTTGCCCTTTACACTTGTGGGAGCAGGGCACAGCAATAGTAGGTATATCACACCAGCCAGTGCTACTGCAGCTGGCACGTGTTTCCCTAAGGCTGGTTCCTCCATTTCACATACTAGCATCACCTGAGTGTATAGAGATCCTAGCAGGGCTCTAGCCCCCATTTTTGCTATTCATTCTACAGGCTAGCAATACTGTAGTATCAACTGACTGACATTAGCAAGACAGCTTGGCAGCTTTGTGGAGCTAAGCCTCTCGCTGTCTTCAAATTTGGAAGTCCCTGCTCCTTAGAAACTCACCATCTAGAGTCTGAAGTAAGTTTGGGGGTGGCTGAAGAAAAAGTAGACAAGTGATTAGTGACAATAGATCTCGTGTGCAGAGAAGTGTGCAAAAAGCAAGCTCTGCACGGGAAATAAACCTACACAACCATTTGCCAATTTGATGAACAGCTGCAGATGTTGATGAAAGTTATTATTCTATCATTATTCATATATCATCAAAATGAATATTAATTATGACTGCCACATAATCAGATGCAGTGCCCACAAAGCCTGTGCAGAAGAATCCGTATTTTCTCTGCTGATTTAAATGTACTTGTATTTGAAGTTTCATCACATTCCTCAGGGGAAGTACAACTTCATTTTTGTGTCATTCTTGAAGTGCCTGGGGGGTCTTTTTGAGGCCACTGTGAGACCTCATTTATTCTTATTATTACAATACCCAGCTTTCAATAACAGAGCTTCTCCTCAGTAATAAAGGGCCTATGCCTATTGCTGGTGAAATAGAATCACAAAGGCACAGTTTCCCTGATCAGAGTCAATATTATCTCCCCCTCCCGTCCCCCTTCCGCCCCTACCCCAAATAACTTCATTGTCTTTCCAGCAGTTGAAAGATATTTGTTCTTTCTTTCCCTCTCCTTTCTGCCTCCTTGCTGCTTAGAGGCAGGGCAAAAGGGGGGGGGGGAGGGCCTCTGATAAATTTTCCCGC